GCGAAGGCTACTTCGGAGAGGTGTGGGAAGGACTGTGGAGGAACACGGTGCCCGTGGCCATCAAGATCATAAAAGGTGCGTGGAGCAGGAGACAACAAACGGTAACGATGCCCCGCTCGGTCTCTTCTCATCCCCTTTTCCTTCATATCTCTCCTTGTCACCATCTTATTAAGCAAACTGTGGTAGGACCTGACCAACAGCCCCTGGACTATTTGTATGGGACCACTTAAGCCTGGATGGGCACCTTTGTAAGCTGGATCTGTGCAGTGGGCTTGTGATGAACCAGAGGAGACGATGATCCAGAAAGTGGCATCCAAAGACCCATGGGAAGCACCTCGCGGGTGCTTGGATCTGGGTGTGCAGATACAGTCCTGGAAAAGGGGGTGGCCCTGGGAAGGAAGGAGGTCCCCATCACGGACAGGCCCTCGCAACAGCTCCGCTGTCTTCCTCCTGCAGCTGACATGAAGGCTGATGACTTCACCAAGGAGATCCAGAACCTGAAGCGCCTGAGGCACGAGAAGCTCATCCAGCTGCACGCCGTGTGCTCGCTGGACGAGCCGGTCTACATCATCACCGAGCTCATGCGGAAGGGCAACCTGCACAGCTACCTGCACAGTGAGTGCCAGCCCGGGGGAGTGCGGAGAGGTCCTCGTGAGGGCTCATGAAGACCCTAGGAGCCCAATGGAGAGCCCAGAAGAGGCTGGGTTTGGCTTAAGTGCTAATGCAGTGCAATCCACAGACGCTTGGTGGAGATGCTCTTGGCTGACCTGCATCTCCCTGCAGAGATACAACATATTTTTGCCCATGTGCAGAATCAGAAAGAGGCCAGGTTGCCCCTCGCTGTCCCATGAGTCATCCCCATAGCAGTGTGAAGAACATTTGTTTGTCTACTCCTTTCCATTCTTTGGTGCCTGACCGGACAACCAGTCTTGAAGGGAAACAAGGCAACTCCCACAGAGACCTGTTCTTCCACTGTTCACCCCCCTTCTCCTCTTCCTCCACACCGAGTAACTTGACCTGATTTTTGGTTATGGGTCTAGCAGAGTTTGGTGGTGGGGAGCTGGAGCTCTCAGGTAGGACGGGTCCAGAGACCTCGCTCCTGTGACAGCAGGTCACCTTGAGCTTGGAACTGGTTGCAACCTCCTGGGTTGCTTCCTCCCTGCAACCCAGGATGCTCGTGCAAAGATCCTGAGGAGCCCTTGGGACGTGCTGAATTTACACCTCGGAGTTACGACAGCTAAGACCAACCTTCAAATTGAAATTTGATTCAGGGCAATGGAAGTGTGAAGCACAGGTTTTACATATTCCTCCATGCCAGTTTTCACCCTGTCACCTGCACTGAGTCTCTTTCCAAGCCAGAAGGCACTAGAGCACATAAAATAGGTGTTGCTAGATGGCCTTAAATATGTGGCTCTCCTGGGTTCGCAGGTCCTGAAGGGAAGTCCCTGAGCACCTCCCACCTGGTCAACATCTCCTGCCAAGTGGCAGATGGGATGAGGTACCTGGAAGAGAAACACATTGTTCACCGGGATTTGGCAGCCAGAAACATCCTGGTGGGAGAGGAACTCACCTGCAAAATCGCCGATTTTGGGCTCGCCCGGCTCCTCAAGGTCAGTCGGGGGAAGCTGTGGGTCCTCCACTGCTCTCACTGCAGTCACCCACAGCACCCCCTGCCCATCCCACGCAGCAGGTCTATCCCACCAGCCTCATCCAGTGCCTGCTGGCATCAAAAGGCTTAATGCACATGGGGACCCAGATTTCACCCATGGCTTCTCTGGAGGAAGCAGCCCTCAAGGTCTCCTGTTTCTTCGCAGGACGATATTTATTCCACCAGTAGCAGCACCAAAATCCCGGTGAAGTGGACGGCCCCGGAGGCAGCCAACTACCGCACCTACTCCTTGAAGTCTGATGTTTGGTCCTATGGGATTCTGCTCTACGAAGTCTTCACGTATGGACAGATCCCATACGAAGGTAGTGACGGGTTCCCCCCCTTCCTGAGCGGGCTGGGATGCTGTTGTGGCACCACCGACACTGCCCACTTCCCCACACCATGAAGACCTTGTTGTGGGGTCTCTTGTCTATCTATAGCTGAGGCGGAAGCAGCTTCTGGAGCACAATGAAAATTCCTGCCCAGCTTGGAAGTTGCTTCTGTAACAGCCTTGAGTGATTTTCTCGGCTTGCAGAAGGGTCTGGTGGAAGGTGCTGAGGACCCAGGGCAGAGCATCCTTTGGACCTGGGTGAAGGGGTCCCATGGGGTATGAAGAGGCAGGGGAATCTCCTCTCTCCTTGCAGGAATGACGAACCAGGAAACTGTCCGGCAAATCACCCGGGGCTACCGCCTTCCCCGGCCGAGCAGCTGCCCTGCGGAGATCTATGGGATCATGCTGGAATGCTGGAATGGCAACACGGAGGAGCGGCCCTCCTTCCTGGCGCTGCGCGAGAGGCTCCGCATCATCTACCGCCGTCTGCCTCTCTCCTGAGGCCACCCCGTGCTGGTGCCCTGCTCCCAAACGCACCAAAATCAGCTCGTGCCAGATGGTTCTCTCTAGGATTGCCCTCGGACATGACTCCAAGGATGCACGTTTCCAGGGAGAGCCTGTGGCCCTTCGTGGTGAGGGTGGCTGAGGGGAAATGCAATGAGTTTTTGCAGATCTCTCAGGAAAAGCAATGTTAGTAGAGCAGCACTCAGAGCTCGCCCCATCTTTTAGCCAGGAGGGTGGGTATTTGCCTGCCCCTCTCCATGTCCAAAGGGGAGGTTTGCAAGCTGGGTCCCTTTGCAGCAATGCTTGACTTGCAGCATGCCCGGTGTTTTTATCAATAAACCTGTGTGCAGCCCTTCGCATGCTGCATGCAGCCCCATGCATTGCTGCTGTCGCCAGCGCTGCTCCTCACAAAGCGTCGCACCAAATTTGCAGCATATTTCGCAATTTGCAGCAAATCCCACTTTTGCAACCACCCTGATCCAACTGGCTTTAAGCCACTGTCATCTGCGCTCAGCTAAATCTGCATGAAACCCTCCGGGCCTCGGTCACCCTCCTCTCCCTGCCAGCCACTCCGCGCTGGCTCCTTGTCTTTGCCACCATCTCGTGGCTATTCCAAGTATAGCTGGGATGTGATGAGCTAAGAAAAAAAATCTATTCCTTGTTTCAGTTACTTGGGCAAACACGTGTGTTTTCTTCAGCAAGGAAGACTCGTTGGAGCCTTGTCTTGGGAGGGCTGGGAGGTTTTCCATGGGTTCCTCCTGGAAACTTGCATCCTTTTCCAAAGTCGAACTGCAAATATAGGGACAGGCAAGTCAGTTTGGCCAGGAGCTGCTGGTTCTGGTGACCACAGGAGCTCCAGGTGGCCAGGAGCACATGGACACCCCAATGCCTTCCCACCATCCAGCCTCCAGGTGAGCAGCCGGGCCCTTTAGGTGATTTTCCTGAGTCGCTATGGCAAAAATGTGTCTTTGCAGGCCCTGGTTTCAGTCTCATCCGTGCCCTGTTGGGGGATGAAACTTGGCAGGCTGTCGTGAGGAAGCAGGTCAGTCTAGCACAGCAGCTTTTGGCTGCATTGCTGTGCTCTATTTTTAATGCTGGCCTTTGCAAAGGGGCAGGAGGAAACATTGCTCCTGGAAGAAGAAAATTCCTAAAGCAAGAAGATGCAGGAGATAAAAGTGAGGGTTTTCTCCTCCTGAGAGCTCCTCCTATGGTCAAGGAGCAGGAGGAAACGCCAGCCTTTTATCCCCAAATAGGCGAGTTAATCAACACTCAAAACCTTGGAAAGGGGCAGGAGGCAGCTGCTCGGGGAGCGGAAAGGAGAACGTTTGCCCCTGGTGTGCAAGCACAAGTCCCATAATTACACGTTCAAGCGGCTAATTGCCTGTGCTGCAAGACTGCACCCACCTCTGCGCCAAGCAGCTTTTTCCCTTGATTTTTGGCTCAGTTTTAAACACCAAGAGCCTCTGCCCCTGCCAGCTGTACCCCACTCAACTGCCTGCCTGGGTCTGCCCAGCTTTTTGTGGCTATTTGCCCTTTTTTTTTTTTTTTTTTGGCATTGGGATGTGCTCCTGCAGGCAGCCTCGGTGCTGCCCACAAGCAGGGCAGGGGCTGAGCATAAAACCCAGATTAAGGGCACTTATCTTGGCAACCCTGCAAATACAGCAGTGCTGACCTCAGCTCTGTTTCCACATTTCACTCTGCAACCCTTGTGCTTACAGACCCCCTAAAAAAAAAAAAAATCTGTGCCTCCAAAAAGAGAGACCTTCTGCTAGGAAACAACAGGAGAAAAAAACATCTGCTTCCCTCCCACCCTGCTGCACAAGGAACTTGCATCTTAGGGCAGAGCTTGCAGAAGATGCTTTTGCCAGCAGAAAGATGCTGCAAAGCAACAAGTGACCCGGGAGGCATTTGCAGCGCAAGCAAAAATGGAGCCGCCCCCGCGGGCTTCGACTTTGGCCAGGCAGCCCCAGGGACATTGCACAAGGTGCCACGTCGCCCTTTGCCTCTGTGACGTCCCAGGAGCAAAGTCACCTCCCAAAACGGAGCCCTTGAGCTAAAATCCCACACGCTGAGGAGGAAGGGGCAGCGTTAAAGGTGCTCGCAGCAGGGGTTTGTTTGCTTGCAGCGCGAGCCGGGCTCCTCTTGCACGCAGGGGAACGGCAGGTTCCTGTTTTCCCGGTGCTTTATCAGGTGCTGGATGCAAATCCAGCGCCGATGCCGTCAGCAGCCGCTGGCTACGGGGCAGGTTAGCACGAGGAGAAGGCAGAAACCGGCCGGGCGCCCACCCGCCCGGGCACAGCGGGAGGGAAGGCGGGAGCGGCGCATCCGCAGGGAGGAAAAGAACAACCCACAGCATTTTACAAGGCTGCTTGAGTTTATTAGTTGCACGGAAAGCATTTAAAAAAAAAGACAGTAAAAAGGCTGGTGTGGAAAGTTGCTGTTTTTTTGGTTTTTTGTTTTTTCTTGCTTTTTCTTGACTTGTTTCCTCCGCAGAAGCAGCTGGGGGGACGTGGCAGCTCACGCCGAGGGCCCCGCGCGGGGCTGGCTGGGCTCACTCGCGTGACGCTTCCTGCCGGCCCCCGGCCCCATGTCGCAGCCCGGCCCCAGGCTGCAGGAGAGGGGACAGGGGCTCAGGGATGCACCGGCGGGGCCCCCCTCGCGTCCCAGCCTCGTCCCCGAGCTGCACTCACCGCTCCGGGGACTCCGACACCGTGCTCATGGCCGGGGCGGGCGTCTTGCCGAAGAAGAAGCTGGCCCACCAGTGCCCGGGGTCCGCCTTGGGGAGACCTGGGGACAGCGCATGTTAGTCCCACGTGGGGACACAAGGTTTGTAAATTCGTTGAAAACACAAAGCGAAAGGAGAAGTGGTGCCTGGCACGGCCGGCTGTGCTTCTGGATAGCGCACGGGGGTTTCCACGTGCACGACGCTGACGGTGCCTTATGCAATCCCGTTAAACCGACAGCATCCCGGTGGGAATGGGCAGGGAGCTCCCGCGTGGGACTCACCCGGCGGGTGCGGGATGACCTCGCCAGCGTAGTCCGCGCTGCCGCAGGAGCTGTTGCTTGAGGTCGAGCTCAGGCGCCCTGGGGACAAGAGTGGGGCCATCAGAGCCACCCACATCAAGAGATCCACCAGCCCCAGCACACGCTGTGCTCCCGTCACCGGCGTTTGCCCAGAATTAATGCTATGATGAGGAAAAACACTGGGAAGGAACCGCTGGTGAGATTAGCAGTGTTGGATACCAGAAAAGCAGGAGTGCGGGGAAAAGCACTCCCCCTGCAAGGACACTACTTAGGACACGCAATGCTTGGGAAGACACCATGGTACCACAAAGCCAAGAGGGTGCCCCGACCTGCACATAATCCATGCACTTCTAGTCCAGCTGCACAAAGCCCCCTGCCAGCTCCAGGCAGGATTTTACTTCGGTACCACAAAGCCAAGAGGGTGCCCTGACCTGCACATAATCCATGCGCTTCTAGTCCAGCTGCACAGTTCTAGTCCAGTCCTGCCAGCTCCAGGCAGGATTTTACTTCCTGTTGCGTTGCCTCCTTAAGGCAGAACTCTCCTTGTGGAGAGGCTCCTGAACTGGCTCTGCAGCCTCTCCGGAGGCCTCCTTTCCCCAGCAATAGCATGGCTGCATTTCCAACCGTCCCCTTCCTCCACCTCCAACTCCAGGAAGGAGCCCAGCACTGTGCAAGACCCAGGAGACCCGAGTTTAATCTCATCTTCGCAACAGCAGCACCTCCCTGGCAGATCCAGTCGCCCCCTTCCCCGTTGCAATTCCAGCTCGGCAAGCCCTGGACCAGGGCCAGGGTTCTTACTTCGGTAGTAATTGTGTGTTGCCATAAGCGAGCCGCTTGACGGGATCGCTGCCATGATCCCGGACTTGGGTCCACTGCAGACCTAAAACCTGTAAGAAAAGGAGCAGCAGTCAGGGCTGGGCCCGCTTGCTCCTGGCAAACCCCGGCTCCATGCACGGCAGCTCCAACAGCTCTGGGGGGGCCTCTACAGCAAGAGATTTATATTTGCAACCCTTGCAGCAGGGCTGCACTGTGCACTGTGCCCGATACTCACAGGGCCGCTTGCAGCTTAAATGCACGGCTGGAGAGCTCGTGCGTGCAGCTGCTGCCTAAGCCGCACTAATTCCCTCAAAAACAAGCGCCGCCATCCCGGGCTGGGTGCTCGGCTCCATCAACAACACCCGGTTGCGAAACCTCGGCACGGCGCAAGCGCGGGGCGCCCAAGGCCCTGGGCCCTGCAGCACCCAGGGGCTGCTCCGGGCGGACTCGACTCCAGCACGGGGAAAAGCCCGGCCTGCGGATGCAGCGTGCACCGGATCCGCACTGCACGGATGCGGGGGGACAAAAGCCCCCACCTTGGGGTCCCCCAAAGGCCTGTGTGGCACCGTGGAGCCACCCGCACACAAACAAACCCCTGAGGGGGAGAAGAAGAGGCAGCGGATGCGGCTGCTCCCTGGGCCGTGCACGGTGCTGCCAGCAGTGCCAGGGCGGGATGTGCAGCGCTGAGCACCACGTCCAACACAGCGAGCACCTGGTGCAGCAGCAAACAGCCAGCACGGCACCAACAACCTCCAT